TATTGAAGGGGGCAGGATTACAAAATGTGGTAAGACCAATTCTGGCAGCCACATGGGAAAATTAGTCTTGCTGCATCAACATCCTTTCTCATAATTAAACACCACAGTCAAATCAGATTTTGATATAACCTTGGCATTAACATGTCACTAATGCCCTTCTGCTCCCATCCCAGCCTCCAAATCATAAATATAAACATTCCTGAATTAAGACCAGCAAGAAAGCCCTGGTTATGTCATTATGCCATCATTCACGAGTGATCATTCACCACTGCATATGTTTGCCCATTTGGGCAAACATATGGTGCTGTGATTTTTCTTTCAAACTCTAGTTTCTGGAGAATGATAAACACATAAGATAAAACATTGTTCTAAGATGAACTGTGGAAAAGTTCCAAGGATTTGAATACAATCTCAATTAACATAGTGACAATTTTGGCAATTTTTTTCTAGGAACATTACCAGCAGATTCTACAAACACAAACACATACATGTATACATTTTCTTTATAGTTTTAAAAGCTAAACAAAAAGTCAAAGAAAGAATATAATAAAGATTGAAGCAAGTATCAATGAACTACAAAACAGAAACTTAATAAAATCAATAAAGAAAATCAATGAAACCAACAGAGTAGATTCTTTGAGATGACCAATAAAATTGATAAACCTCTAACTCAACTGATATAGGGAGAGAGAGAACCAAACTATCAATATCAGGAATTTTACTCTACAGATATTAAAATGACAACAAGTTGACACTATGAACAACTTTATATCAATAAATCTGACAACTTACATTAAATGAACAAATTTCTTAAAAGACACAAACTACCAAAGCTTACTCAAAAAGAAAAACATGAATGGATCTATGTCTATTAAAGAAATGGACTTGTAGTTTAAAACCTTCCCAAAGAGAAAACTCAAGGCCCAAATAACTTTGCCAGTAAATGAACTAAACATTTAAAAAGAATTAGTACCAACTCAACATAAAAAAAAGAGGGACTACTTCCCAATTCAGTCTATAAATTCATGATTATTATGATACAGAAGCCAGCCAAAAACATTTTTAAAAGACTAGAAACCAGTAACTCACAAATATCAATGCAAAACTTTCTTCACAATATTTTAACACATGGACTCCAAGAATTATATATTTTTTTAAATTTCATGACCAGTGGTGTTTATCCCAGAAAGGAAAGGTTGATTTGCTATTCAAAAGTCAATCAATATAATTCAACATTTTAACAAGCCAAAACAAAACAAAAACAAAAAAAAGACACAATAATCTCAATAGATTTTTAAAAATTGACAAAATCCAAACTAATTCCTGATAAACATTCCCAGTAAACTTTCTCCAACCAGGTAAAGGGCATCTATAAACACCTATGGCTGACATCACACTTAACAGTGAAAGAATGGGTGCTTTCACTCAAAGATAAGGAATACGACAGCAAATTTTGCTCTTGTCACTTCTATTCAGCAGTGTCCTGGAGGTACAGGGATAATTGCCATGGTCTGAGATTTTATTTCCCCCTATTTATAAGCCAAGAAGTTAGCCTGTCACTGTTTCAGGGCTGCTGGAAGAAGAAAGGAGACACCTGAGTCAGAGATTTAGGACTTTATTATTCATGGCACAACAAAGGGCACAAGCACCATATTTGCATAGATTCCCCCTGCCCTCAAAGTCTCACAAGGTGATGTGCTGGGAATTCAGATGGATGCCTACAAACACAGTGGTTGTTTACAGAAAAAGAACCCTTGGGCTTGGGGAATCTACTGTTTTCATGGTAAGCAGTTAAGCAAGCCTACTCTTTGTTCAAATGGAAGTGTTCTATCATCCCACAAGGTTGTTCACTGCAACCATAATCCTGAGAAACTGTCTTGGTAAATTGGCACAGCACTCAATTATTGGCATACTCAGCAAGACATATATGAGTACAGTATGAAATACCTATAGAGGAAATCTCCCAACAGCAATAAGGCAAGAAAAAGAAAGAAAAGGCATTCATACTGAAAATAACGGGCATCCATCCATACTCACAAATGACATCAACTGTAGAAAATGATAGAATCTATTTAGAAAAAGCTACTTGAACTAATAGGTGAGTATGACAAGGTAGTAAGATACATGATGAATACACAAAAATCAATTGTATTTCTAATACCAGCAAGAAACAATTAGAAATTAGCATTTTTTTAAATGTTATTTAGTAGCATCAAAGAACGTGAAATACTGAAGAATAAACCTGACAAAATATATATAAGATCTGTACGTTGAAAGCTAAAACAAAATACTGCTGAGAGAATTTTAGAAAGATCTAAACAATTGGAGAAATATACAGTTTTCTTGAGTCGGAAGATTCCACATTATTAAGATGTCAGTCCTCCCTAAATTGATCTAAAGATTCGTCGTAATCCCATTCAAAATCCCAGTAGGCTTTTTATAGAAACTAGGGTGATTCTAAAACTCATATGGAATTGCAAAGGACCTAAAAATCACTAAAGCAATTTTTAAAAAGAAGAACGAAGCTAGATGACATACTATCTGATTTCAAGTTTTGTTGGAGAGCCACAGTAATCAAGACAGTATGATAGTGGCATTAAGACAAATAGATTAAAGGACAGGATTCAGAATTTATAAATACGCATACTGACATGGACAACTGATTTTGAACAAAGTGAAAACATGCCAGTGAGGTAACAATAGTCTTTCAAACAAGTGGTACCGAAAAAAATAAACATACTAAACATATGCAAAAAAACCCTTTGATCCATACATTGCTTTACATACAAAAATTACTTTAAAATGGATCATAGATCAGATATACAGGAAATATAGAACATTCTGCCACCTTGGGTTAAGCAAAGATTTATTCAATATGACACCAAAAGCATGACCCATAAAAGAGAATATTGATAAATTGGATTTCATCAAAACTTAAAACTTCTGTTCTTTTAAAAACACTGTTAAAAGAATAAAAAGAAAAGTCACAGATTGAGAGAAATATCTGATATCCAGAAAATACATATTCAAAAAAAAAAAAAAACTCCCCAAACTCAATAAGAAAACCACCTAGTTTTTAAAATGGCAAATTTGGCCAGGCTTGGTGGTTCAGCCTGTAATCCCACCACTTTGGGAGGCCGAGGCAGGTGGATTGCCTGAGCCCACGGGTCGGAGACCAGCTCAGGCAACTTGGCGAGACCTCGTCCCTACAATTAAATTAAAAAAAAAAAAAAATTAGTTGGGCATGGAAGCACACCCCTGCAGTTAAGTCTACTTGGAAGGCTGAGGCGGAAGGAGTGCTGGAGTCCAGCAGGTCGACACTGGGGTGGCCATGAGTGTGCCACTGCACTCTAGCCTGAGCAACAGAGTGAGACTCCAACTCAGAAAAAGAAATAAAAATTTAAAAAGAAATTTTTTTAAACAGCAAAATTGCAGAACCTTCACAAGGCTGAGAAGGGAAAAAAAAAACAGCAAAATTGAACTGACACTTCACCAAAGAAAATACATGATGGCAAATAGATAAAAAGACGTTCATGGCCAGGTGTGGTAGCTCACAACCGCAATCCCAACACTTTGGAGGCTGAAAAGAGAGGACCGCTTGAGTCCAAGAGTTCAAGACCAGGCTAGGCAACATAGTGAGACCTCATCTCTTCAAATAAAAAAAATAGTCAGGCATGGAGGTGCACACCTGTAGCCCTAACTACTCAGGAGGCTGAGGTAGAAGGATTGCCTGAGCCAAAGAGGTCAAGGCTGCGGTGAGTTATGCAGTGATCATGATCAGAGTACACTCCAGCCTGGGTGACAGAGTGAGATCCTGAGTCACAAAAGAAAAAGAAAAACAAAAACAAAAACACCCTCAACATATTCTGTCATTAGAGAAATGCAAAAGCATTCCATACCCATTAGAATGGCTAACATTGAAAAGGCCATACCAGTATTAGGGAGGATGTGGAGAAGCCAGAACTCTCACATGCTGCTAGTGGCAATATAAAATAGTACAACCACTTTGGGAAATAGTTTGGCAGTTTCTCAAAAAGATAAACACACTTATCATATGACTCAGCCTTTCTACTCCTAGGTATCTACACATGGGAAATCAATGTATATGTCCAATCAAAGACTATAAATATTCATAGCAGCTTTATTTCTTATAGCCAAAATGGGAAACAGCCCAAATATCCATCACCAGATGAATGAACGAAAAACCTGTTATACAGTCATACAATAGAACACTACTCAGCAACTAAAAAGAATGGATAAGATATGCAACAAAATAAATCAATCTCAAAATAATTAAACCTACTAAAAGAAGCCAGACAGAAAAGGGTACACATTGTAGGATTCCATTCATATAAAATTCTTAAAAATACAAACTATTGCAACAAAAAGCAGATGCCTGCAGGCTGACTGCAGAAGGGGACGAAGGGTGTTTGTTTGCTAAGATGTACAAGGAAATAGGTGTATGAGGAAATAGTGAGGTGATTAGTATGTTAAGTATCTTGATTGTGGTTTCACTGTCATATGTATGTGGACACATATCAAATTGTATACTTTAGTTTACTGCAGTTACTTATAGCTCAATAAGTTTTTTAAAACCTACATTTTATTAACACCAAAAAATTCATTTATTATGATATTCCCAGAAAGACCTTATATAGTAGTGCAATGGTTATGAAATTTTAGTGTTAACGCTTGTTGTACAAACTCTCTAAGGAACAGTATGCTCATGTTTACATCGCCAGCTACCACAAGAGCTAATTAGTTCTTCCCAAATTGAGTTACAGTAAATGTTTCTTCCTTATCAGAACAAATTCCCAACTCCTGCCCACACAGTCACTGTTGAGTCTCTCAATATGAAAATTCTATCTTCCCTAAAAAAATCTTATGTATTTACTTTGTCTCAAAAAACTTTCAATATTGAATCCAAAGCAGAAGACATGGTTTCAGGAACTCAAGAAAGAGCATGGCCTTGCAATGATAGGTCTCTTGTTCATACTCACCTGAGCTGGTTTGCTGCAGATGACTCCGTGAATCTCCAAGTAGCTGAAGGTTAACTCGAGCTGCAATTGAGGGGAGAGGGGGAAAGACAGACCTGCAATGAGGGTTTGAAAACATGCAATTCAAAGTAAAAGAAATGCTACAATTAGAAACAGCCAGAGAGCAAATAAAATACTGGAACATATTCTGAAAGTAGGCTGGTTTAATATCTCCATTCATTCCACAAGATACTGTGATTTATCATATTTCAGAAAAAGTATTTATTATTCACTTTACCAAAGGATTGAAAGGAAGTCGCAAGCCTGACTTCTTACATTTCATCCAGGGACAAACCCAAGAAAAACTTGTTGTACTTCTCCACTATTTATTCATTGAAAATTAAATGTATGAAAGAAACCATCTAAACATACTTTTTTCTTTAAATATTATAAAATTTACTTTAGAAACTCGTATCAGGATAAAGTCAATTCTCTTTTTTCCTTACCTCTTTGTATTATGTTCTGACCACTTATTAGAGTCATCCTTCCTTCCACCATCCTCCATAAAAACTATTATTTTGAATGGGTTTAGAGAAATAAAACCATATTTATCCAAATTAAACCCATTTTTATGCAAATAAATCCATATTTACACAAAGACAATACTTAGGAATTTTAAACGATGTTTAAATGGAATACATACAGTTAAATAAAAGTCTTCTCTCTGCATGTAGATAAATGATTACTTCCTTCCTGTTTTAATATTAAGTGTCCGTTCCTCTCTTCTTCTGTAATCAGCAGTTCTTTTTTTCCCCCCAATATATCCCCAGTCTTTCATTCTTTGCCTGTTTTCCCTGGTCAGTAGCCATTAATCTTTCTCCCAGTTTTGTAGTCTTTCATCTTATTACAGCAAACAGTCACAGAGCATGAGCTAGAGACAATAGGGGACTGAGTTGGATCAATTTATTTTACCCTCTCATGTTAAACTTAGAACTATAATGGCAAAAGATCACATTCAGAACCAAAGCTACAAGGGGATTCAGGACTGCTCCCTGGTGGTAATTCGTACCATGATCCACTGGTAAGCTAAATCTTAAGAGCAGAAAATCTCTCAATGTCCAGCTAGACATCGTAAAGTATGATGATGACAACTGGAAGTAGAAAGAAAATTCATCCTTTCATTACTCACTTAGTCAACTGACAGATATTTATGGAAAGCCCACTTACTATGTGCCAGCATTGGAAATACGAAGAGGAATGAGATGCATATTTTGTCCTCCAAGAATTAAATGCAGCATTGAAGTCATATGTTTAAAAACACTCAGAGTAGAGGTTTTCTTACCTATCATTATCAATATGTAGACATGGTTTAATTTTGAAAAGTCATTTAAAGAGGGGAATTGTTTTCTAAAAAGTATACATACCTATCTCCGCTATTTTAAAACTTATAAACATATTTTTGTTTGCCACCCTTTAATATAGTGCCACAGTTTCTCTGTAAGTCCACTCCTGGTCCTCCAGGGATCTTTCTCTATGAGCCACACACACATCCACCTTCCAATTCAAGTCTCTTTTAAAATGGAGTGAGAACTGGAAAACGCTTGTAGAGCAATGTGAGGGGAGGAGTTTTCTATATTATTATGCTCCTCACCACTCCCCCACCTTTAACAGTTGTCTGGTCCTTAGGACAGCAATTTTTAAAGCAATTCAATTTTATCAACATTTAGTATTTAATAGACATTCTCCTTTTGCACTTATATTTCATTGCTATATGAAATATCTTTCATCAAAAACATTTGCCATTGTAATTATAACTGCTATAAACAGGTTTGGAAACAAACTGACCCTTGGTGGGCATCTCAGTGAAAGAGTGGGGAAAAGTGTGAACAGGTATGCTCTCTTATAGCCAAAGAAGTATGAAAATACAGTTGGCATCAGCATCATCAGGAATAGAAATGGGCACCTTTGTCCAATTTAGCTCAGCAAGGTTGGCTGGAGGTCAGAGAAGGTACTCTATTGTACCTGGGTTTCCACTGGGATAGCAAAGGGCTAGGAAGCCAGGGAAGAGTGGTGCCATTTCAGCTAGGCCCTGAAGAATGACTTCAAGTCCATCAAGCAAATAAAAGGTGGAAAGGGAAATAATTCAGGTAGAAGAAAACAAATTTGCAAAGGCATAGAGGCATTAAAAAAAAAAGAAGAAGAAAAGGCAGAAATTAAAAGGAATAGATCTTGAAGTATCAGCAACTAATAGGGATGAGTTAAAGTCTGGTATTATTACTATTATTATTATTATTTTTTTTTTTTTTGATTTGGAGTTTCACTCAGTCACCCAGACTGGAGTGCAGTGGCTGCTCCCGGCCACCGCAACCTCAACCTGCTGGGCTCTGGTGATCCTTCCACTTCAGCCTTCCAAGTAGCTGGAACTACAGGCACTACCACACCCGGCTAATTTTTTGATTTATTGTAGAGATGAGGTCTCGCCAAGTTGCCCAGGCGGGTCTTGAATCCATGGGCTCAGGCAATCCATGAACCTCGGCCTCCCAAAGTGCTGGGATTACAGGTTGAGCCACCGAGCCCAGCCTGGTATTATTATTAATAGTGGGGAAGGGAATCCCTAAAACATACTGAAAGATATCATTGCAAGTTTCAAATCATTATCTTTTTATCACATCTGTGGCTATTTTTATCATTCTCTCACTCCAGCCCGCCCCAAAGACAGAATGTCACCAGATTAGATTTAGGAGTAGGAGGGGCAAGAAGACTAGTTAGGAAGCTCAGACAGATGCAGGCTGCGTGAATACCTGAGGACATTTTTTTTTTCATCAAAACCACAGATTAGTGATGGATTAGATAAAAGGAAGGAATTAGCACAGGCTATCAATAGCTTTTCCACCAGTCTCTTGCTCACCCCACCTGCAAGCCCTAGCAACACTGTGCCCTTCCCACAGGCAACAGAGCAAATCTAAATGTGATTAAATGGCTGCCATCCTTCGGTAACTCCCACCATTCCCCAGGCAGCAGTCCGTGCTTCAGCTCCTTGGCCAGACCTAGGTCCTGTCTACCTTTCCATCCTATTTTCCTCCACCAGAGCCTCCTCCACAACCCTCAGTCCATACTCCAGTTCCCCAAACGCACTGTGGTCTTCCAAACTGCTAAACCTTCTGAACAGCATGACTCTCCTTATTTGTCTGGTTGATGTCAGCTGACTTTTCAACCTGCCTTCTCTGCAAATCATTCCCTGATCTAATAATCACCCACCCATGACAGCAGAGTTTAAGCCTTCTGAGGTGATGGCTCAGTTCTATTCCTCCATCTGGATGTAACTGCAGAAGTATTTTGTAATTAATCACCGAGATGTACATCTCTGTTTTGTGCACTTGACCATATATGAGGTCCATCTCACAATAAAAAGACAAAAATGTGTTAAATTATATCAGTCCCCAAAGAGAAGACATCTATGCCATAATTAGTGTTGACTTTACACTAATGTTCTAAATATAATTATTTCCAAATTACTTTACACTAAAAGAGAAGACATCCATGTCATAATCAGTGCTTATTTTACGCTAATGTACTGAATGTCATTTTTTTTTCCTGAAAATCAGTATCATTGACACTGGTTTTACTTCTCAGTCAAGACTTACACTAGCACATAAAAACCAGCCTTCTACAAGTAGGAAACCTGCAAGTAGATCACTTTGGAGGAAAATCTGCATTTCTTTATTTGTGATACTAACAATATCGGGAATCAGAATCAATGTTCAAACTACCCTGGCCAGGCTGTGAAACATTGTATACAACATTCAAACTACCCTGGCTGGCTGTGAAACATTGTATACATCATGGGTTGAAGACATGCCTTGTCTCAGGGCAGAGCAAGAAGGGGATAGTGTAAGATCACCCAACAAATGGAAGACAGGTGACTTCCAAGAGGTAATATGCCTTCCACTGTGTCTGGACATATTAGGGTATGCATATTACTTAAGTGTCTTCTATTCTATACGGTTCTTGACTATCTTCTTAAGCTCATAAAATTTCTTTCTGCAATTAATTTCTCACCATTGAGATAATGCCTAATTCACTTCCTCATATCAAGCCTTCAGGCTTTTGGAGTTTTATTGGTTGTTGTTGTTGCTTTTGTCTTTCCTTTAGATTCAATGTATAGCTGGTTTAGTCCAACTTCATTGACATAATCATTGATTTTCTTTATAACAAATTATAAACATGTAGACTCGCTTTATATTATCAAAAGGAACTGGGACTAAAAGTCTCATTCCTTGGAGAAACTTTATAAAAGTTAACATTTGAATAATAAGAAAGAAAAAAGGCAGCAGGTACCCTAAGCCTATAGGAAGAAAAACGTGGGCTGGCATCTTCCGAAAATTCTGTGAAAATCATGCTAATAATTAGATTGCAAGTCCTAAAAGATCTATTTAATAAGTACCTGTAACATTATGGCACCCTATTTTGGTACATAAGTAGGAATTCACAAAACAATGGTTAAATGTTAAACTTTAAGAAACAAGAAAGGACTAAGAAGACGAGTAAATAATACTACAACCCAAACATGACAGCACAATAAGGCTGAATGCATCTACCAAACCTTAACATTTTCCTGAGTATGTGAGCAGGGGAGGAAGTTCGACTCAGTGAAAAGCAGAAAAGAGTAAGTTAATTCCTTTTTCTCCCCTTCATTATTTGGGAATCCTTAAGCAAGTCAACTTCGCATCTTTGAACTATTTTCCAACAGCTCACCTACAAGGTTACTATGAGAATTAAATGAAAGAATGTACTTATGTACTTAGTAGATAACTCATTAAATTCTAATAATAGCAATATAGTTAAGCAGAGGCTCCCTAGATTAGAATCAAGCATCTCTCAACTAGTAGTGGAAGACACACCTTAGCAAGTTACTGAACCACACTGTGCCATTTTCTCATTTATAAAAAAAGGGATAATAATGGGACCTACAGCTCTCAAGAGATAATATTAAGGATTAAATGATGTACTAAAACAACACTCAATCAATGTTAGTTTTCATCACTTTTTTAGAAAAAAAAAATCCCAATTTCCTGCTACCATTCAGTCTATATTTTATAAAAATAATCAATCCCTATTAGGTACAGAAACAAAATCAGACATTGCTATGCTTAATTCATGAGATACCAGTTCAAATTTTAATTTGCACCAAGTAATGAAGAGCACCTCATGAAAAATCTGTCAATCGTTTGAAGAAATAGTGGTGTCATGCTATTTTTTATAGGCAACACCAGAGTACAAGGAGAGTGACTGAAGTGGTTACATTACTGGTAATGTACTTTGTAGAGTTTTGAAGGTTATTTCCCACATGTCTAAAGCCTTAGAAAAATCTGCCAGTACTGGACTGAAGGTAATAAAAAGTAGACTTATGGAAAGAGGAAGCTAAGCCCCATTTAGGGGAGAAAAACACTGGGACATGGGGCTTCAGGGACAGGGGGACAAAATGCTTTACCACTTATCTTGGGAAGACTTTACACAAAGAGAGGGAACAAAGGAGCAAAAAATGGTTGTCATCCCAACCTTGAGATGCTTTCTGCAGAGAACATGAAAACATGAGCGTACTAAGAGAAGTCTGAACACATTAGCCTAAATCATAAATCTATGTAAGGGAGGTGTGAGTGTGTTGTGTTAGAGTTTGTGTAAGTGTGTATGTGTGCACATGTGTTTGTGAGAATGCATGTGGATGAATATGCATGTTTGTGTGCAGTATGTGTGCATGTGTGTGAATATTGGGAAGAGGAGCCTCATCAATGCTTACCTTGGTGGGAATTCGTGCTGTCACAAGGAAGGCACGGCATGATGTAAGCACCTGAAAGACAAGCAGCAGCGTAAGTACCAAAAAGTAGGACTGGTGGGCTATTGTATTACCATGGGACGTTAATGACACTTAAGCTTCAGAAGGCCACATGGCTTGGCTGCTGCCATGTAATAAGAATTAAGTGACCTGGGACAGCTTCTTGACCCTATAGAATTAGTTTTAACTTTAAGAATCCTTGTAATCTAGTTCCCTACTGAGCAAATCATTTGTGAAAGCTCAAGATAAGAAGTCCATCAGCAGCCCAAAAGAACAATAGATAATTTGGTTGAGGAAGCAAGACAGGTATCTTGACATATATATATATATATATATATATTTTTTTTTTTTTTTTTTTTTT